CTAGTCGTGCAGTTGCAGGTGAATCTTTATCTTGACCTTTGAGGCCTGTATGATTACGTATTGTAAACCTTGTCCAGGACTAAAGGATTAGATGGGATCATCCCTATTGGAGGAGATTTGAGAGATGCTCAATTTTCATGAATTAAACCCTGAGATTGAAGATATGGCACTGCTGCCCACTGCTGCGGAGATAGATGCATGCAATAGGCACAAGTTCAACATTGGCGCAGCATCTGAGCAATGCTGGGTGGGGATGGCTGACCTTGGCTGCACAATCGTGATTCAGATTCACTCTATTTCATGTACATCTACAATTTACAAATTCCTCACATTTCAGACGATTGAAGCAGGAGTTACTGTACAAGTTACTTTACTGCAGCAGAATAAGAAAATGTTAGTCTTGGAAACAGCGTCATGAATGAACCACGGTTATGAATCTAGGAAATCCAGAGAAAATGCAAACATTTGAATAGTTCTCCGTACTTTTTGTTCAACTATGGTGCAGATCATTTAGCCCAAAATGTTTAAATGTAGGAGAAGGGTGATTTTTGAGAAAAAAGTATGGAAAGCATGCAACATCGTAGCAATACAGCAAATGACACATCAGAAGACAACAGTTCATAGAACCAATAGTGGATACTGAAAAGGGCAGTTGCGGAAGGGGCTAACTGGTTACGCGGGGACGGGCGTTGCTTCAGGCAGGAAGGTGAGAGCTTTTTATACGGCGGCGCCACAATGATCCTAGCAATATTTGCTCTTTCACACACTGGTTTGATAATATGAATCCCTATGCTTTGCAAGTTCTACTTATTCCATGTAATGAATTTTGACCGCATACAGCACTATTCGGTACTTGGCCACATTAAAATTGTAGTGAGGATAGGGCAACCTCAGGCGGCGCCTTACCACACCAATGGTTGCAGTGATCAAGCCGCGGATCGAATCCTAGGGAGGCCATCAATGCTTCATGCCACCGATGGGTTTACCGCTGAGGCTGGTGTCAGAGTCGGCGATCCGTAGCGCGATTCGCGCAAGTCGCGCGACGGATGGCAGAAATCACAAGTGCCCGATCAATACTGCGAGGTGCTCTCCAATCCCGCCGCCATTTCTGCTTGATAGTGATGGTTGAATGACGACTGCTCATGATTCTACTTGTTTCATATTCAGTGTTTCAAATGTTCAAATGGGGCACTTGCGCTTACTGCGAATTGCGGACTCTGACACTACCCTGAGAGATTCGTCTCGGGGAAAAACTCGGGCTTATTGGCATCTTCTCTTACTCTCTGACAGGCCCTAAGGGCTTGCGACACCCACAGCAGTTCGTCCAAGTCACAATAGGAAACCATCCATTGTTTCCCGCTTTTTCCTATTCCGTAGAGATACATGCTCCATTACTATTTTGCACTAGTTAATTTTGCAAGCATTATGAAATCAAACACGCCTTCAAGTACATTTTTGGCTAGGAGTCGAACGCGTGGCGCATAAAAGGTTGGTCGGCGCATTTTGTAGTATCTGGTCGAAGCACGTAAACTCACTTACCACAATAGGCAACTTAGTGCTATTAAAAGGAAGCAGCTAGGGAGTTTGAACAAGTGGAGGAAAAAAGAAAAGAAGAAGATGGTGACTTGGTGACAGTATACGCTGTGCACTCGAATGAGCCGGCTTTTGATGGCTGCATGTTTTTTTAGCGGTTCGGGAAGTGAACAGACGAGACGATAATACATATGCCTGAGTCACATTAGTAGTACGATTTGTCTGCTTGTATTCGTGTATATTTCGAGGAATGTTAACCGTCGGGAGGCATTAGTCACATGTGGGCAGGAGGCGCAGGCGTGGTGGTGCGCGCCCATTTTAGTTGCGAGTAACACGGTGCGTGAGCGCAAGCCTGTACCCCGTTCACATCGTCTCGCCTTTTCGCAGCACCACCACCACCATCAGCAGCACCAGCAGTGCTATGAACGCTGTGCTCAGCATTTGCGGCTTATTTGCACTTTTCAGACTCGCACTCGCTGATATTCCAGCACTCCATATTTATAATGGTAGGTAATCAGTACAGTTTCTCAGTAATCAGGCTGAATTCCTTCGGTGCACCGAAATAAACCTGGCACTAGAAAAAGCCTGCTTTGTTACACACAAGTCAGCTCCCTTCCGTGGCAGGACCTTCTAAAGACACAGTTGCAGGACATCTTTCCATCGACCAACCTGTTTCCTATGTCCCTATTCAACAATTCGTCGCTGGTCAACCCTATACATTTGAAATACAGATGGGAAATGTACTGCAGCAGGATTACATAGTCGAGGCTTGCACGTTGAATGGAAAGACTTTCATTGACAACTTTGGGTTGGTTTTTTCTATTATAATTAAGCAATTAAGCCATTATGCACGTTAACTAGCCAAAGTGAATTTCGTCCTAACGCAGTTACGGCAATCAACAGTGTGGTTGAGCCGCGCAGTCGCAAAAACTCACTAGCTGAACACATAGATCTGTCATCCGGATCCAATTCCGTCAATAATGCTATGCTCCTAAAAAAGGCGATTGTGACGTCATGCGGAACCGAATGGTTTATAGAGCATTGGTTTATCGATCGCTTCTGGTCAAAAATATCTCTTTGGTTTGCCTCTTCTTTGAAGCTCGTACCAATCTTTGGCTCTCAATTCGTACCCTCCGTACCAGTGCTAGAGCCCTTCCCTCTTCTATCAATTAATTCTTCAATCAAGTATGGTACATCGCTAATATAGGCCTGATTTTTGGCCCTCTTTATTAATCAATGGTAAGTTACGTACTTCTAGATATTTTTTCTGAACTGCTTCACATCAGGTTACTCGGGTTTTTTAAGCTACTGTAGCGATTCCACTGTAGCGCTACAACTTTTTTTACGCTCTACACCTTCCCGAATTCCTGTGATCTTCGGCCATCTCAACTTTTATAGGCTCTCCTTTTGTTCTCAGTCTTCACCTTCATGAGGCAGGTTTCTGAGAGTTCCAGTTCCTTATAATGATAAGCATTTGGAAGCTGTAGGACAATAAGGCTTGTTTGAAAACCGCTTCTTGGGAGGTGAATCGTAGTTCAAAGTTTTTCGGTCAATGTCGCTTTGGATTTTGTGCCAAGCTGACCTATGGCTTCAGTGTCTTTATCCTTGCCTCATTTTTTCTAAAGGAAGCTTGGTAGGCACACGCAAACTGAAGTTGAAGGTTCACTCATCTTATTTCACTTGAAGCTTTATTTACCTGACGAATTATCGAAGTCTTTCGTCGTAATTAACCTCGGACAAAACTGAGTCCGTGATCTGAACTACAACTCAACGCTCTCCGCAAGGACATACATATCTACCTAACTCTGTGATCCTTAAAAAGCAGTTTTCCTCATAATCCTGACCACTACAGCTCCAAGGGCCTTGAGGGTCCATTTTAAGGTCTACCAGAGAGTTCGATTTTTTCCTCTCCTATGGCCTTAGGTCTATGTTACAGACCGAGAAAGAGTCCTGTAAACCAGTGCGAAACATCTTACTTGTGCTACTTCCGAGCAAAGTACCAGTGATAAGTAGCTAGTTCTGGTCACTATGTGCGTCATCGAAGATTCCTCGACTGTTTAAACGAAGAAAGCATGAGTTCTGTGTTGACCGCTGTATTGTTGGCGCAAAACCATTGATATTTTATAGCGCGTACTATTTGACCGCCGGGACACGCTGCTGGAATAAAGCGCCGTAAGACGTTGGTCATCTGAAAACATCACTGAAATAGCTCTCGAGATAGATTTTTATCGTTTTCATGCCCTAAAATGAAGCTGACGCTTCAACTCAACTCCTATACCATCAAATTTTCGGAACTATTGAAATGCTAGACTAGGCAATTTTTTTCGAAGGTAACAACAAAGTACTAGAAAAAAATTGTTTTTTAAATCGTAATAATTACCATATTGGTTGCTCAATCTCGCTGATCGCTTGAGAGTATCTAAAAGTACAATATCAAGACAGTTGCCACTGGAAGGACATATTCTGAGTGCGAAATCTACCTTATCTGATCCGGAGGCGGTTACTTTCCTAAACTTTTGGGTGTAAAAGTCTTAAAAGGTGTAAATCATAGTAGTATTCGCCTCTTAAACGCCAAACCCACCCTTCTACGGTTTCTTCACGGTTTTCAGTTATCTTTCTCCTCAAGCTGTTCTTGGTGTAATTAGAACAGGTCAGACTCCAATGGGACGCAGAGGCTAAGCATTTGGTTCAGCCAGGAAGTACGCTTGAAGAATGCTT